ATGCATGTCTTAGAGTACCACCTCTTTTCTCATGATTTCCGGTTAACTCATTAAAATCACCAATTAAAAACCAGGGTGTATCCCTAGTCAAACCAATCCGCGTTAACCGTTCCCAAACTTGATCTCTATTTTTTGGAACCGGGTCACCATAAACAAATGTAAGATGAATTGTTTTTCCTTTTACCACAGCTTTCACATCAATTAACCGATTACTTTCATAAACAATAGAAACATTAAAATCATTGTTATAATAAAGAGCTAAACCGCCAGTACAACCGATAGGATCAACCGTTTCTAAATTTTTATAACCAAAATGACCGAGAAATTTTTCCATAAAAAAAAGAAGATTGTTTTGTTTCTGAAAGAAATAAAAAATCTGGCCGGTGTTTTTATTTTTGATAACTTGTGAATATATATTACCTTAAAAGGAAAGAGTTATTTACAATGTCAAAAAGGCAGACAGATTCAAGGGCCCAAAAAAAAATTAAAAAGCCATACTTGAAACAAACTTAACAGAACAGAGAGGTTAGCTATGAGCAAACCATTGAGCCTTTAACAAATCTGGCCGATGTTGTTTCCAAATGTCCCGAAGATAACCGATAGTTGCCTTATTCCCGAGCCTTTGACAATTCCAACTCAAAACTTTCATTTATCAACTTTGTGTTTAAGTGGGTTGCATCCACCTATGAAGCCCTTCACCATATCCTGGTTGCTCAGGTTCTTACCTTCCGTCACAACAAAAATAATTTTTTTATATTTATATTTGTTTTGTATTTCCCCATCTTCCATAAAATTTACCATAAAATTTACAAGTTTATTAAAGCCATCGTATTCCACATGAACATAAAACTTAATAAAAAATTCAATCACTTTTTGGTGTGCCATTTTAAAAAAATGTCCCCTTCTTTTGTGTATTTTCAAAAATATGTCTCATTAAACCTGAAAAGGTTTATGAGGTACTTCTGGATGGTAAGTATTACTCAAGCCTCGATCTAAGTATTTATATGGTTTTATAACATATTTATATAACATATTTATAAGATTTTATAAGATATGTATAAGATTTTATAAGATATGTATAAGATTTTATAAGGTATTTATAAGTTTTAATCATGTATTTATATATATATAAATGTAGTTTTGTATGCTTTTATAATGTTACATACGTACTTAGGTAAATCTTAAATTTTTAAAGAAATTTTAAAAAGGTTTTACGTAGGTTGTATTTTTGAAAAGAGGTATTGGAAAAAAGCATTTCTAACAATTCCTCAATTTACAATGTCATTTTAATAATTTTATTACATTTTGCTTCTCTAATAGTATTCATTTATGTAATGATTTATAGTTAAATTAAATATGAAATAATATTTTAAAATAAACTATTATAAGATAATTTGTTGTTAATTGTTTAATATAAATTTGTGGGAAATAAGGTAAAATGTAGAAAAAGACAACATTAAAAGAATACTTGATTTAGTGCTATATGCGTTATAGAACATTGATGAATTTTGAGAATGAATTTTAAGTTTTTAAGTAAATGATCTTATAAAAATGTATATGTACATCTTTCATTGTTCCATTTCAATTTAAATCTATATATACATTTTCGAAGTACAAATATGAAATAAATCTTTGAGTTGGCACTTATTTACAAGATAATGTCATTGTTATAAAAATGTTTATCTATTAATTAATATTACAAATTATTTTCGAAACATTTTTTTAGAAATTGTGGCTTCTAAATAGGGGTGGACACAAGGCGAGTACTTGCTCTTTTAGGGATATTTATTACTTGGCTTGCCTTGTACGAGTAACAAAAATTAGTATTTGTGCTTGGCTTGTTGAAAACGAGTACTTGTAATTTCGAGTACTTGCTAAAAAATGAGCGACTTGCGAGTTACTTGCCTTGCCTTATTACTTCCAAAATTAAAATTGTTATCCGGTTTACTCCGGTTCTTTATTTTATTAAACTTTTAAAAAGTTTTAAAAAATTGTAAATATTTAAATTTTATTAAAACTTAAATATTATAGTCATTTAAACGTTTGTAAAATTCAACTTTATAAAACGTTTTAAATATTTATATAACTAAAACTTTTATGAAGTTTCAAATATGAATATTTGAACTTTATAAGAATTTATAAGAAGTTTAAACATTATAAATATTTAAACTTTAAAAAATGTTTAGAGTATTTATAATATTTAAGTTCTATAAAAAGTTTATAATATTTGAACTCTATAACAATTAAATTATATATATATATATATATATATATATATATATATATATATATATATATATATATATATATATATATATTATGTACACCATTTAAAGCCGTTGCCCATGTAAAAGTCCATCCATCGAAATGAAACATAGGCAGAGTCCAAAGGTAGACAGGGCAGGTCCCCATTTCCCAACCAATAATCACGCTTAACGAGCACAAATATGCTCCTCGGTGGCTAATCACAACACCTTTTGGGTCGGCAGTTGTACCCGATGTGTAGTTTAATGAGATTGGATCATGCTCGTCTTGAATAAAGAACATACGCGCCACCAACGAGGGCGTAGGCTCTCCCCTCTGGATGAGACACTCGTAGTCTAACTCCTCGGACGAAACCCTTTTAGAGAAATCGTTCTCGTCAATAAATATGACCAGCAAATTTAAGTTTGAGTCATCACATGATAGTAGATGGAGAATTTCTCGAGCCAAGGGCTCAAAACTGCGGTCTATGAATAAGATCTTGGGCTTGGCGTGGCGGAGGATTGCGGCAATGGATGTTGCGTCCAAACGAGTATTGATAGGGTTAAGTACAGCTCCAGCCATGGGAACGGCAAAGTGCATCTCATACATGGCCGGTGTGTTTGGAGCAACAACAGATATCTAAACACACATTTATACTCATATGCAGGGCCGGCCCAAAGATTCATGATGCCTAAAGCCCAACAAAATTTGATGCCCATTTACAATAACTAAAAATAAAAAAATGTTTAAATCTTGCGTCCAAACGAGTATTGATAGGGTTAAGTACAGCTCCAGCCATGGGAACGGCAAAGTGCATCTCATACATGGCCGGTGTGTTTGGAGCAACAACAGATACCTAAACACACATTTATACTCATATGCAGGGCCGGCCCAAAGATTCATGATGCCTAAAGCCCAACAAAATTTGATGCCTATTTACAATAACTAAAAATAAAAAAAATGTTTAAATCTTCGGTTGCCAAGGATCGAACCCACGCACAACTACCTTTAGACGTCTTAAATACCACTAGACTATAAGACACTTTTATAATTTTGATGCCCTTCAAAATACATATAAGATTTGCTGCCTAAAGCATCTGCTTGCTGGGCTTTAGGTCTGTGCCGGCCCTGCTCATATGTCTCATTATTTTAAATAAATGAATTTATATCTATCTAATTATGCACATTAGTTACACTCACACACTCTAGACAAAACAGAGTACTATTTCTGAAAAATCTAAAATTGCTTAGCGAAAAATTGGGCAACGATAGTGAGACAGAGAGAGAGAGATAGTGTGACATACCACATCGTTCTTGGCGATGTTAAAAGATAGGAGAGAAGCGGCAAGACGACAACAATGGTCATAGGTCTGAGGCCAAGTGAAACGAGTTTGTCCGTAGATTATCGAAGTTCGATTGGGATAACACTCCGAAGCTCTCTTCAAGAACGTTATGGGCGTTAGAGGAACGTTGTTTACTTCACATAACGCCAAGTTATCCATCTTCTTCTTCTTCTGCTTATTGTTTGTGTTTGTGTGAGGGAAATGGGATATGCAAACAGATACTATATATAGAAAAATTATGAGAATTAACAAGTCTCTTTTAGGAAGTAGAAAAACGTGGCTAAAATTGGAAATATAAAATAATCCGTCGCTGATTATGGCAATTATTGAAATGAAATTATTGCAAGGGTCATTTTCCTTATCAACATTTTTATGTGGTCAGGTTTCAATAAAATAGGAAATGAGTGATATCCACGAATAGATGTTCAAGACCTTCTTTTCATGTTCACTTGAGACTGGCTCCCAGCCTACGGACCTCCCAAATATTTTCCAATCAAGTTTAGATCCTCTTGCCCAAGCCTTTGTGGTCTAGTGGCAGAGGAAGCTTTGGTGAAGGGTGAAACTCCCAGAACCGAGTTCGATTCTTTCTGGAAACGAAAAACACATTTGTTTGGGAAGTCTGTCAGTTGGGCCTTGGCCCAATTGGTTTACCTGATAATCAGAAATGCAGGCGGCCTGACTACCCCCTAGCATTAGTCGGAAGGTATTCCAAACTCGGATCAGGCAGTATGGTGGCACCGAGGTGCTTCCACTCTGTAAGCACCTGTAAGCACCTCGGTGCATTCCTATCGAGGCCGACCGGATCAGCCGAAAAAAAAAAAAAAAAAAAATTTAGACCCTCTTTTAATCTTTATGCATGTGAAGATCTACGTAAAACATTTGTGATCCTCTTTTCATGCGTTTCTTATCTTTGAAGGAGAAATCTTCAAAGTCAAAGGATCTGGATCCCTTGAGCAAACATTATAAATTGTGGATCCAACATTTTTTCAAATAGTAATTAGTAAGTATAGTCCTGCAATACAAGGGATAAGTGTGTGTATATCATTCATTATTCTAGTAAATGAGTTAGAGAACTTCATGGTTGGAATAAACTTCATACCTTGAACATATCATAGACATAAAAGAATTACGCTTAGATTATTTTCTTTTAAAATTGGAGAATATGTGTGTTTGTGTTCATCGACTAACAATATTAATTTAATAAATCTGTCTCTACTAATCGAAAGTCACTTTAAGAAAAAAATCAAACTAAACTAAATTGCATACTGCTTTTATATATGTGAACAATAACCTGTGAACCGAATAAAACTGAACAAACCGAATTATATACAATTTTTATATGGTTTATCTTTCAGAGTCTCTATAAAACCGATAGCGTAAAACCAGGAAAAAAAACAAAAAAACAAAAACAAATTGAAACCAAATTGGTTGTCCACCGCAAAACAATATTACAATTGTTATTTCCGTAATATATAAGATATTACATATGTGATTACACTAGAAATTAAAAAAAAAAAATGAGCTAAGCAAATAAACATATTTAATTATTATTGTTGATCTTCCCGTCATAATAGAGTAATAGACTAATCATTTTTGCCAATGCATAATTCCTTAGTAATCTTGGACAAGATCAAAAATCTCTAACAACTATCATTATCAAATAATACGTTCGATGCTTGTTGGGGAATGCTCTTGAAAGAATAGGAACATATCATCCACAAGCTGGAATTGTAGGAACTAACGGAAATGATGCGTCTCTATCACACATATCCGGACTAATGTTTATGACTCCTTCACCCTGCCATATTTTTAGTTATGAGGTTAAAACAAATACGCAACTTAAAATCAATGAAAATGATATGCTCTTGAGTTCAAATTAAATTATATGGTTATGTGGATTATGTGATTGGCCAATCTAGCTTGGTTTGTATTGAGTCAATCTCTAAGAACTGCGGAAGAAAAATGACAGACTTGCCCCGGCCCGTGGCAGACTTAAACTATGTACGGACGGATTGCACCAGTCCATAACTTTTTCAACAAAGCACCCGTAAGTCCGCCGGCCGACCTTACAAGACTAGGCCAGCTACAAATTTGGGGTTCACCATAACATCCCTCATTAACTTATTAAGTTTCTCTTTAATTTGTCAGCGATTCCTTCTACTTTAAAGGAGCGGTTTTGACAACCAAACGGGATGGATGGAGTTTATAAAAACAAATTCACAATGACGAGAGTTTGAATATTACTATATTAGATTAGATTTTGTTACCTTAGCAATATTTCTAAAGTACGAAGTTGTATAGTTTCCCGTTGGAAACAAGGCTTCAACAATGTCAGCGAGTACTAGATTTGGTTGCGAGATTGCTCCGTCATACCAGTCTACTCATTCACAAATTTCAAGAAACAGTTTTAGCGCAAATCAACATAAAATAAAGTGTTTCAAAACTTTCTTACCAAGAGTTGTTCCGTTTCTGACCCGTTTGTCATATCTCCAAATGCTTTGATTTGCAAGAAACGCAAAACAAGAGTTATCATCCACGTTTATGTTCCCCAAGAACGTTGTCTGTGTGTAATTTTGAGGGTCAGATGATACCGTTTCATCGATCACCGCATCTACAGTCTGTTGAATCGAAGTTTTGAGCCAAAGCAAATAAGTTTATTTTGGTCATCAGAAAAATGAAAGCAGAACAAGTATGATCCCCTTACACATAAAATGGCGTGGAGTGCTTCCAAATCATCAGGATCAGAGACATTGTAAGAAACCTTATTAATAGATTTGTCGATGTTTTCACCACCCGCATCTTCTACAAACTGTTGTGTATGCCTTCGTCATGGTCAGTTCGAAAGATGTTTCCAAACATTTAAGGCAATAATTTAAAGTGTCAAAAGTTGAAACGCGTACCTTGAGCTTGTGTGAATCCTTAGTAAAACTCCACATGCATCCCTTAAAGATAAATAACACACTATGAGTTTGGAACCATATATACACATTCATCTTTGAATTATAAGAAACAAAAATGTTAAAATAGTTTGAGAAAAAAAAAAAGATTTCTTACATTTTGATCATATCCCATCCAGGCTACAATCGGCTTGAATGATTTTGTCTTGTTGGAAGCCATTTGAGACAAGCAAGTATAGCTTGCTTTTACCTACAAGGTTCCATAACATACTTTATAAACAACAAGATGAGGCCTTGTAGATAGATTTTGCAAAGAGAAGCATGAATTGTCACTCACCGCGTCATAGACTTGATTGGCTTTAGTTTCAAGATTGGTAAAAGCTCCAAGGAATTTGATCCACTCCGCTCGCTTATTCAAGATTACAAAACCATCACAACCTCATATCAAAATGTGAAAATTTAATCACTTTTGGTTAGGTTTAGATCTATGCAAAGATAATAATTGGCACCTGAAGAGGTGTGCCTTCACTAAGTGGAAAAAAGTTTGCAAAATTGCAAGTCTGAGGTTGATCCGTGTCGCTGATGAAATGCGCCGCGAATTGAGATAATACCTGCCCTTGTTGGTCACCTTTGTCAAGCTTAACTACTTCCCCTGCCTCACACAGTTTCAGAAGACACGGTGAAGCTACCGCATCGGATGTTATTCCCTTCAAGCTTCCGAGTAATCCAAGTAACTGCATATAGTCAAAACTAAATCCATTTTTTGGTCCATTCTGAAGTTTGATCCTAATCTTCTAGCAAATTGTTTGCCTAGTACCAACAAAAGTCTAGAGCTGATGTTCCTTGAGATGCTGAAACCATTCATTTAACACAATACCAAATCTTTAAGTTAGCTAGAAAGTATTGTTTACCTCGAAGAAAGAAACCGGAACGCCTCCTGAATTAGAGAAAACATAGGGATCTAAAACAACAGAATAGCTTTTAAACAGAGGAATGAAACAGGGGAGAAAAACAGAGCATACCTTGAGAAGATTGAGTGTCTAATGAGTAATTTAGAAGTGGAATCACATAAGACTTTATCCTGGAAGTACAATACTTTGTCCGAACCGCCATTCTAGAAGTGTTCTACATTATTCCCTAATATTTTCAGACACGGACCATACATTTTGGAAACAAATAGAAGAGTCACAAGTTAATGAGATAAGCAAGAACCTGAATAAGGAGATAGCTCTTGCCATCAATGGCATTCTTGATGACTTTAAAAGTCTGTCCATAATAGATATGGAAATTCTCAGCATCTTCCACCTTTGAAATGCTTCCAACTTTTACATTGTTGGAAGCTCCGTTTGATTCTCTAGCTACCATGCACCATAATGCTAACAACAGTATCAGAGGCCAAGAACTATAAGGCAATGAAGACATTATCAATACTAATCGTGATGAAGAAAGAAGACAAAATCAACTAAATCCTTTTGGAATTTAGATTGGCTCTTCTTGAATTCAATATCTGTGGGTTTTCCAGAGAGAGATAGTGGAGAGTGATAGGGAGAAATATTTAATTATTGTTGTTTTCTTTTGGCAAAAAAAAAATAATAAATAAAAACTTTTTCTGTATGCTAGAAATTCTGTTGGAATGTACTTTTTGTTTTTAGTTTGATTTTAAACAATTGTGGAATTCAGATGGAATATTTTCCTCAGTACTGGACTTCCTTACTTCAGAGTAAATGTATATGAAACCATATTTACATCAGTACAGTATTACATTCTTCATACATATGAATGCATTTTTGTATTCATCTTTAGTTTAATGGCTATATGTACCATTGATTCATTAGCCCCATATCTCTCCTATGGAAGTTCAAACATTTTTAAACTTGTGTCAAGGTTGCAAAATCATGTGAAAGACCATTGATTCATTAGCCCCATTAGCATATATAAAACCAAAAATTGTTAAGATATAAAAAGAAAAAATATTTTACTAACTTTTTTTTTTACTTCATTTTTCATCTCTCCTTCTATCATACTATACAAGTTAATGAAAAAAATATAAGGGATAAAATGTCCCAATTATATTTGTTCTATTTTTTAAAAATTATAATGAACTAAAACGGTTTAAAAATCCAAACCAAAGGTTCTCTCTTCTACTTTTTTTTTTTGCTTAACTATTTCTCTTCTACTTACTAAGGGGCTTGTGTCTTTTTTTTTTTTTTTTAAATCTCATGGTAAAAAGATAATCAGATTTACCTTAAAGTAAAGCTATTTTTCGGCCTTTTTTATTTCTCATAAATGTAGAATATATTTTCGCCTTACAAAAAATAAATATATATATATATATATATATATATTTGTAGTTAGTTCGGTTAAAGAAATTTAAAAATCGATTTGAATGCTGTTTAATCTTGTTGTGGTCATGTAAAAATTATAACACAAACAAATAATTTCTTACCACAACAATATATATATATATATATATATTTGGAAAGTGAGGTTTTGATTGAATGTGAGAACAATAGAGGAGGTGACCCGTGAAGAGTAGCACGCGACTATTATTTGATTTGTCACTTTGTGATTCAATAGTTAGCACTTTAACTTTCTTGTGATTTTCTGTCTACACCCATTACGTATCACCACGTGCATCCCATCCCCATTACCACAATCTCGATTCCAAGCTTTGTGAGATCGTAAAAGATAATGCATAATTATGGTTATTGCAACAGTATTATTGAATTTCAAAGGATATAATAAAAAATAGGCATTGCATCAGTGTCTAATGCAAGAGATTGCCCTGTATGAACTATTTTTTTTCTCCCTGTTGAAGACAGGATCGTTTGGTCTCTCAGCCCGGATGGAAAATTTTTCCTCCAAAACAGCCTGAAACCTCATAAGGCAGACCTATCCTAAGGTCGACTATGCAGGCATCGTTCGGAAGAAATTGAATATCCCCAACCCAAGCCACAGTATTATCGCCTGGATGGCCCTCAACTCTGGGCTTCAGCAGATCGAGTTAGCAGATTTTATCCCAACCAACACCGTGACTCTTTGTGGCATGTGCATGCTTGAAGATGAAAGTGCCAACCAATACGGGAGTTGTATTTTTGTTTTTGGGTTAAATGGGGTTTATGTTTAAAATAGGGATACCGTCAAAGCCATAATAAGTTACATCTCACCCCATAAAAAACAAAAAATGTTACATGGCGTTCTGTTATCCGATCGGTTATCGGTTCGGTTCCATTCGGTTTCAGTTTTTTCGGTTCCAAAATTTAGTATCCATTCGGGTATTTTGAAATTTTGGTTCGGTTTCGGTTTGGTTCCGGTTCTTTCGGTTTTAAAATTTAGTATCCATTCGGTTATTTTGCTTTGGATATTTTCGGATATTTCGGTTATTTTTGGATATTTTCGGATAGTTTTGGGTATTTTCGGTTATTTTCGAGTATTTTTACTATTTATATATATTTTCAAGTACTTTTGATTAGTTTGTCTATAAATAACTAATATTTTTAAAAATATAATTGTATTTCGGGTATTTTTGGTTATCCGAAATATTTCGGTTCTGTACCGATTTGGTTACGGTTCTTTCGGTTATAAAATTTAGTATCCAATCGATTATTTTCAAATTTTTGGTTTGGTCCTTTTTGCTTCGGTTTCGGTTCGGTACATTCGGTTCGGTTTATTTGTCCAGGCCTATATCTCACCAAAACACGTGAAATTAGTGGATCCATTTTTTCAACGGAACACTTCTTTAAAGATCATTTGGGAATTAATTTTAATCACTTAATTACTAAGATCATCTTAAGATTTTCTTAAGGGGAAAATTTCCAAAAAAATCTAAAATAATTTTTATTTGGACGTTTAATACCCAATTCTTTTAGATTGGAAAAACGATACCTCATTTAATTATTTATAGTCATAAAATACTTCGTATATAAATTGTTGGTGGAATCGAACCCACAAGTTAACAACCGTTAACGGGCAAAATGGAATTATTTAACGGCGGTAAATATCAATCCCACATATCTTAATTTATATATACGATTGTATAACACAACATCCGTAATAAAAAATCGCAGAGTTATAGTTAAGGAAAAAAAAATAATTGGCATAATGGGGGGACTCGAACCCAGGTGAAAGGGTTGACAACCCTACAAATAACACCTAGACAACGACAATATTCACATAATATTACGTTAAACAATTGTATATATAGATTATTATATGTGGGATTCAAAATTTAATACGTCCGTTAACGGCTGTTAACTTGTGGGTTCGATCCCACCAATAATTTATATACGAGGTATTTTATGATTATAAGAACTAAATAAAATATTTTTTCTAATCTAAAAAAATAGGGTATTAAACGTCCAAATAAAAATTACTTTAGATTTTTTTTAGGAATTTTACCGGATCCCTCCGTTAAAGATGGTCTAACTAACCTAAACTTTCCATCGACTTTGTACTTCCCAATCCAGCCCATTAAGGCCCAAGTCCTCGTGTCGTTGTTTTTTTTTTTTTTTGTCAATGATTGTGTCGTTGTTATGTGTTGCTCGTGTATAATCGGCACATATTTATATCTCCTACTTAAAACCGCATAATTCACCAACGCATCTCGATCTTTAACCCTAAATAGGAGCAGCTAATCTCAAGCCTCAGCCACCATTTTATACCGATCTGATCCTAGTGAAGAAGAGGAACGAAACAGTTTCTGGTAAGTGTTTTCTTTTTTTTTTTTTCTTTTTTTTTGATAATTCAGGGGAATCCCAGACCTATGGAGGGGCCCAGACTAATCCCCTGGGGGAGGTGCAGCCCACAGATAGACTCTCTCTCCGGGTATGCAAATGGGCCGAAAGCAAGGACCCATATCCATGTGGCCAAGTGGAGATCTAGCAATTGCGCGCTTGCGGGGAATCGATCCCTGGCCTAGACCAACAAGGCAACTCCTCCACAAGTGGCAACCACTAGACCAAGAACACTTGGTTAATCAATATTGTTGTTCTGTTATGAAAAAGGATGATCTTTTCTAAAAAGTCCACTGAAGTATTTTGCATTCTCGTTGGCTGATGTTAAGTGGATTTTGCATTCTGGTAAGTCTTTTCTCAAATCAATTTCTGGTCAGATACTCAGATTTAGGGGAGTTTGGTTGATTTCTTAATATTTCTGAATAGATATTTGATGTAGTGTTTTTACCCAATTAAATATCGAACCTCAAGGAGCAATGAACCAACACACTAGGAATGCACACATTCACTTAATCTAAGCAAAATAGATGATTTTGGTTTTCTAAATTTGACCTAACAATGCAATTTAAATTAAACAATGCAAAACAAGACAAAAGAAATCAATATGCAAAAGACTAACAAGATTCAAAATCAAACAAGAGAGAAATAAGCAAAGCGGTTCAAGTCTATAAATAGAAAGCGAATCTTCGGGTTTAGATTATTGATTCGAGTGATTAATAATCAATTCAAGATGCTCTATCAATCTAACAATGCTAATCCTTTAGTCTTAGAACACTAACGTAAACTATTCCACTTCCATGGTACTAATTCTACATTAATCAAGCAATTACCATCAATTTCCATTGCGCATCACAAGACTAATATGTCTTAATTTCAAGCCTAATTAAACAACTAGCATTCTAATCCTCCATTCCATTGGCTAGGAATGCTAAGCCTCAATAAGTCCTTTCATGAATTTCATCGGACACCTTCCGGGCAAGAAACTTCCTATGATCTAGACTCAGCTTAATCAAAACTAATCTAGCACTAAGAACACCTAGAGAGTAAGGATCAATAAAGATTAAGTCCTAAACATCTTAAATCAATCAACAACCACCCTAATCTACTAAACCCAAAGGCTCAAAAGAGACTACTCACTAATCATAGTGAAAACACAAAGATCCATGTAGTTTCTTTGCATGATCTTAATGACAAAAGTAAATTAAGAAGAAATCTCAAAATAAACAAGACTAGATTGCATAAAAATACTTAAGATTCATACAAAATCTCAAAGGAGAAAAGAGAAATTCAAAACAAGTCTCCCCTCTTCTCTAAAACTAGGTTATGAGTATTTATATAAAAGGGGAAAACGAACCGGGTCAACCCGGAACAAACCGGATTTTGACCTGGTTTAGAAAAGCAATCGACCAGGCAATCGACCACTTGGTCGATTCAAATCTTGTCCGTAGCTCTGATCCATATCAATCGACCGGGAAATCGACCAGTCAATCGACCAAGCAATCGACCAACTGGTCGACTGCTTCCTCGACTCCTTCTCGTCCGCGTGTCTGGTTTGGTCCCAATCGACCAGTCAATCGACCTACTGGTCAATTGCTTTCATCCTCCTCTTGATTCTTTGATTCTTCACTTCTTTCAACTCCATTTGCCTCCAAAACTCCATACTTCACTCCAAGAACCTAAAAATAAGAAATGCAATGCAAATATGCACCTAAGGACCTAAACATGAATGCAAAATGATGGAAAACTAAGAGAAACAAAGCTTAAAAAGGAGCAAAAACACAAGATATCAATATTTCCTCAAAGAAGCCATGGCTACATATGGCTCATTAATCAGAGGTAAACTCCATTCTAAATTTGTAAGTTGGTCGCTAATTTCATTGCAGAAAAATCTGAATTTTCAGATTGAGCATTCGAGTTGTAGTTTTTGAAAGAGTGGTAGTCATACTTGAGCAGGTAAGGCCAGATGGGAGGTGTTTCCCAACAGAGGAAATGTTAAAGAAGCCATCAGAGTTGTCAGCATCACCGCTAAAGGTAAACCTTAGCTACCACATAGTTTGATTGCCATGCAAGAATCAACAATATCTATAAAAAAGAATCTAGCAAACCTAATCTGCTTTTGAACCTGTTCTTATGCTGGAAGTTACCAAATCCTAGTTGTAGTACCAACCTTTTATCACACTTTTTAGCAGTTGTTTTCTTTCATGTTAAGCTTGAAAGCATGATCTTTGGAAACTCCGAAATTCATTCATATAGAATTAGATTTATTCAATTCTGATGATTAAGATATTAAAAATTGAATGTTGAAATGTATCGATGCTAGCTATGTTATGAAATATGCATGTTGACATCAAACAAGACAACATGCGTATCTCGTAACATTACACCGAAAACATCATTACGTTTTAAACATTTAATTTTTATCAACCTAACAAATTGGCAATGAATAAGTCCAACTCCATACGAATGATTTCTCAAAAATATAAATAAAAAGGTGAAACTATGTCTATGTGTCTCTATAGATTTCAGTCTCATCTTAACTTGGCCAAAAACGGTGGCTATATATAAAGTTTGATAGGTGGTTGGTAAAACTAGGTTCTGGTACCTTCCAACAAAAAGAAACTTTTTGAAAAAGATTATAATTTTTGGATTTTGATAGGTATAATTGATTCTTGCACGACAACCAAACGATGTGGCGACGAGGGTTTACCTATTTCGGTGATGTTTGAAATACCCCAAACCTAGTCATCTACGTTCTTTTTCTTTTGGTAGAGGAAACCAACCCCATTAAGGCCCAATCTTATATCAACGAGGGTTGAAAACATGTGTATATATGTTTACGTCTCGTTGTTGTCACCGCTATCGTTCACAACATTAACACGTTCCAATCTTTAACCTTATAAAAAAAGAAGCAAATCTCGATTCCAAGCCACCATCATCCACCGTAGTTGAGATCGGAGCTGCCGTTTGTGGTCATGGTTGTGTCTTCGAGTGGAGAAAAAGAGTTGATCGTCACCGATTCGTTCGATAAGAAAACCTAACACTCTTTAGTTTTCTTCTCATGTTATTCTCTATTGTTTTCATAAATATTAGTGGCTCGCTATTCAAACTATTGTTGTAAATTTTTGAGTGAAAAAAAAATGAGAGATTGGTTCAAGTAGATGTTTTGGTGAGCAATTTCCCGTCAGATCTGAAGGAATCAAATCATGATTTTTGCGTCATTGGATGGATCTTGCTGCAAGGAAGCAACAATTGAAGGTTTATTGATACGAGGTATATATACAATAGTGCATCTGGAATTTAGGTTACAAAGTAGCCAAAAGTCACAGTTTTCAGATACCCGTTTTTACAACTATTTGATAAAAAATTGCATATTTAAGTAAGTTTTGGTGAAGAGATTCCGGTCACACCTTAGCAATAGTAGATAAACCGACGGTGGTTATAGACACAGGAAGTGTCATGGATGCTACTAGAACCTTCAGCGTTACCGGAAAACCTATCCACTACGTTGATTGCACAACAAGCAATCAATGCGGTGGGTAGGTTTTACCTTTTCCGGTAACGCTGAAGGTTCGGGCGGTTTCTCTGACACTTTCTCTCTTAGTAACCACCGTCTATTTGTCCTAAATTGTTCATGTGTGACCGGAATCGCTTCTCCAAAAGCCTTACTTGAATATGCAAAATAGTGACTTTTGGCCAATTTATAACCTGAATTCCGGATACATTATACCTCGTATCAACAAACCATCAGTTGCTGCTTCTTCCTTGCATCAAGATCTATCAAAAGACGCAAAAAATCGTGATCTGATTCCCTTTAAATCTGACGGGAAACTGCTCACCAAAACTTCTACTTGAACTGATCTTTTTTTTTCTTTTTTTTTTCACTCAAAAACACAAATAGTTTGAATTGTAAACCACTAATATTCATGACAACAATAGATACTAACATGAGAAGAGAACTAAAGAATTTTTTTTTTTTTTTTTTTTGATATACCCGATCGGCTGATCAGGTCATCCTCGGGGGAACGCACCGAAGTGCTACAATGTGGACTCGTCGCCAACACTTAGGTGTTGGACTACCACACTGCCTAACCCCAAGTTTGGAATGTTTTCCGACTAATGCCCGAGGGTATCCAGTTAGCCTAATCCCGGATACCATGTGAATTGCTTGGACCAAAGCTCAAGCCCAGACTTCCCACACAAATGTGATTTTTGTTTTCAGGGTGGATTGAATCTAGGTTAGTTCCTTCTAACATTTCCCCAATTCTCCCTTACCACTAGACCACAGCCGTGTGGGCTACTAAAGAATGTTAGGTTTCCATACCACTGATTTGTGACGATCAACTCTTTTTCTCCACTGACTCTCGACTAAGAAACAACCACGACCACAAAACGGCAGCTCCGATCTAATCTATAGTGGATGATGGTAGTTTGGAATCGAGATTTGCTTCTGTTTTCTCAAGGTTTAAGATTGGAACGTGTTAATGTTGTGAACAACGAGACGTAAACATATATACACACACATTCTTAACCCTCGTTGTCGTTGATATAAGATTGGGCCCTTAATGAGCTTGGTTTCCTTTACCAAAAAGAAAAAGAGATGGCCTAGGTTTGGGGGTGTTACAACTTACAATGTTGACAGCTCGAACAACTTCCTAACATTTCTTCTGTCTAGAACCACCTTCAGTCAGACCTTACTTGTTCAGGTTTGGCTATAATCTTCTTCAGGTCTGATCGGAAATGGCTCCCCAAAACTATTACTCGATCGCAATTGTTTCCCTCTTCTTCTAGGATCAAATCCGATAAGAGCAACAAATATAATGATGGCTCTGATCTCAACCGGTGGACAATCTATGTGTACTTTCGAGAAAAACCATTGGAATTCTCACTACTTATAGATTATTTTCCAACAAGAATCATTGAATTCAATCAAATTCAAATTCAAATTACTTGGGCAGCAAAATTATCATTTTATCAATCATAAGTTACGTTTCCCGGTATCAATGGAGTGTCGAGGGAGTACGAGTGTTGGAGGGATTCATATATGGTTTTCATGTATAGGAAGGATCTTCATTAGGAGTTAAATGCTAGCGATGAAGCTTCTATCCTCTTCACTCAGTGTTAGACGCATTCTTTTAGTTTGTTTGCGGAAGCATAATGAAGTCTCAATCGCCTTCCATACAAATTATTCAGAGCTAGTAAAGCTAATCTTGGCTCCATAAGATTGGCCAGCTAATCGCTTGCTAACACCACTTGAATCACATCACACTCTAATCGTTTTGCCATTCGATGGTGACATGCGATTAGGGTCATCGCATCACACCCAAATCGGATTGCCATTCAGGGCCTATGTGACGCACCTAGACGATTTCTTTTGTAACGAGATGTTTTTTTTTTCATCTTCCATTCACATTCTTTTAATTGTGAAACCGACAGTTTGAACCATGTAGATAATTCTTAAATATTAATTGTCAAGATCAAAATAGCTATAGTAAATTTTGATGATTTATACATAGCAAAACAATTTTTTTTAGTAAAATACATTGCAAAACATGAAACAACAATAGTGGCTGAGCCGGACCAACGAAATTGGGGGTCACATACGGCTTAAGAATAAAACAATATCACAGTTTCAATAGAATAAAAAAATCAAAGTAAAAATAATCTGTTTAAGCAAAAATTTTGATGGGTTTAGAATTTCTTTAAATAAAAGATTTTCTCTTATTCGATTACAGAGATCTCGTGGTTTGTAGAGAAAAATAACTTACTATTTTTTTATCTTTCAATTGTATATAATAATTATAATTTTTCAGGACACACACAATATTTTAGGATCTATATACGATAATTAATATCTATACTAGTATTTTTGCAGTCATTTTGGTGACGGGTGGGTAAAAATGCTTCCGGGTTATTTGGATACCCGACCCGTTTACAAATTTTGGTCATAAAAAGTTTGTTGGGTCAGGTTATATTTAACCCAACTCATACACCGGATATTCCATATTTAATAATTTATATATTTAGAAGATTTGATTAAGATTTAGAATTATGATTCTCCTATTATTTTTGTTTGATTTGTTTTTAACTGTTTTGAATCATCATATAATACATAAAGTAAAAAAAAAATCAATTTTTTTTCTGCATATACTGTGATTCGAAATTTTAAAAATAGACATATATTATCCAATTGACGAAAATGTGTGTTCAACGTTCTACATCGATTAAAATATTTAAACAATGATTCAGAATCATATCATAAATATTTTTATACTAACTTTAAAAAAGATATAAAATCTAGCTGAGCTTTTGCTGAGATTGTATAAAATCTAGTACATATATATAAAAATAAAAAGATATGTGGGAACCTTTAAAAATAAGGACCCCATTGCAATGTTTCATAGCAATGTGGTCAAGTCCGGCTCTGTTTATATTGGTAATAAACAAATTAACAGAAAAAATAAAAATAAACTATAAACTTACTCACATATCTATAGTGAATAAATACTAAAAATACAAGATAGAAATCGTTGATGTTCTAATCTATTCATGTATTTCGTATGAATCTGCTCAATTATACTCTTACCGTCTTACGTGCATGCTTACATAAAAAACAAACAAAACAAAAGATTGATCGTTCAACCCGCGGAGAGGTCATATCACTTAATACATAAACAGAAAATAACCACATATAATACGAATAATTTAGTTTGGTTTAGACTTTAGAGAAATGGAAAAAGCAAATGATACGACCTAGGCAAATGGGAGTACAATAGAAAAAGTGAAAAGCCATATATGATATATTGAACTTCAATATTCAAATAAGACTTATGGTAGAAACAGCTAAGATGATAGCAAGAGAAAGCCCCAACTTCTTCAACACGAAACTATCTTGAAACCGAAAACCTTGTTCATCAACCATGTTTTTCTCTTTCTTCTTCTTCGAAAATTTTCTTCTCACTACAGCATTTTCCATCATGAGTATTGTGCCCAGATTGTTACAATTTCCTTTCTTAGGCTGCCTTGAGTAACATTCACTGCTTCTGTTTTTGTTAGAGTTACCTCCTTGATGAACACAACGCATCAATAGAAGCATAGGATTGAAGCCAATAACGTACACAAATTTTCTCCATGGTACAAGAAATGTTGAGCCTACTCCATTGAGTTGCGGATTGATCTTTTTACGGACAGGAACCTCTTCTTTTGATGTCATATTATGACAACATTCATTGGCGCCCGTTGGATTTATATAAACTATAACGGTTTGCGAAGGTACGATCTTTTGGAAGAATGTATTGGTTACCTGACGAGTTGTGACAAACAATCCATGGCTAACCTCAACCTTTTTTATCACCTCAAAACATGAGGAACTCGTTGTGTCATGATCGTTCTTGTCCAAAATATTCTCGTTATGATCGTTTTCCGAGAACTCAAGTGTGAAAGCATCATCCACATCTCCATTATTGTTGTTAACGTCCATACCATCTTCCAAAAAAAAAAAAAAGAAGATACAATTAAAACTAAAAAGAGAAAATCAAATCCTTGAGATGTCAAGAAAAACAAAAAAATGTGGAAATCGAGAAGCGAAAGCTACCTTGATCTTGATGTTCTTGTTCTTGATTATCTCTATGATAGCTCCAAATATCTTCTATAGGAACTACCGTTGAGTGTTCTTCAACGAAGCTCTGAAATTCAAAGTTCAAGATCAAACATAAACTAGTTATATATGAACACCTAAAATACTTAGCACAGAAACATTGTAAAAATATCACTACCTTTTCTAGTTCCTTGCTTGATACTCCTACCCATCTCAAGTTTTCAACAAGTCTTTCTTCCTTAAAACTCCCATAATGTTCTTGCATATCTACAGCCTTCGCGTTTGCCTCTATGCATGAGACTTTTTCTCCGGAATAGTTAAAGTCTCCATGGAAGTTCCCGGAAGCAGAACCACCGTCCCACGAGTCTAGACTGTTTCGTGGCTCATGGGAGGCTTGAGCCAATGCTATAATCTTGCTCAACATTTCATCTGTATCGTTAGCAACGTTGTTTCCCAAATATTCACTGTGTGTGAGACCTTCTACGTAAAGTGGTGGAACCGGTGGCAACATACGATTTTGTAGTCTTGCACACTCTAACGCTATATCAACCTATTATGTGAGGAGAATTCAGTGAATACGAGATTAGCTTAAAATGAAAAGGTTATATTTTCACCACTTTTGATTTTGTATTTCTTTGAGATAGTTTAAATTTACCTTCGAGGGAGGATATGAGATTGTTCCATATTGAGACTGAGGTGGGAAGTTGAAGGACGTGTCATGCGACATAAACTGACTCCATTTGTTCTCTATCGTTTCCATATCTGACGACGAATTATTACCAAGTTGAGTTAAGCCTCCTGTACCGGGGGAGACCGGATACCCCGAGTTTTCGAGGTTTTCATACATTCCATCAGAATACAAACAAGTACTAGAAGTAGATTGTTCGCTATTGGTCGTTGCTTTATTCTTCTTCGTACCATGGTGTTGTTCTTCTATCTTGTTGGCTAAAGCACTCTTCTTAAATACTCGACAAAGTGCATAGGCATCCTGAAATATTTCAAAACATTGGTTTATATTAAAATTAAGAATCTTAAAATTTTAATAATCATTGTAAAATTTGCTTACCTGTATGCCGGATTTAGAATCACATTCTTGTTCTTCAAGACGGTACTCGTGCATGACCCAATCGGTACGAGAGCCATGAGGCGCTCTTCCTCGGTAATAAACTAATGTTTTCTTTGTTCCAACCATCCGCGAATGTGAAGTCACTTTACGATCTTTCCCGGTGGCTTTCCAGTAACCGGCTTTTGTCGCCCGGTTTGTTCTTGATCCGTTTGGATATTTCCGGTCTCGAGGACTGAAAAAAAACCATTCTAGGTCTTTACTTGGCAGCAAGGACTTCCCTGCAATTATAGCAAACCAGGATAATATAATTAAGAGAACAATGAAATTAGATTTATCGCAATCTTAATGTGTACACACTACTTAAAGATGCCATTACATGACATGAGAATCCAAATGATTAAAAGAAAGAGAACATTGTTTTATATATAAAACAAAAAGTTGAAGGTGAATGAGAAGCTTCGAAAACCCTAAAGCACATGTGAAATTATGAGTTGCTTTTTTTTTCTATCTTCTTACCTTTTTTGACTCGATCTTCAGAATTTGTCTCACTCACTAGTCACCACCGCATCTCTCGGTTTTATTACAATCCTTTTAAAGAATAAAGATGAGGGTGGGTCCATTTAAATTTTATTCTAAGATAAAGTTGGGATCGTTGTTCTATATTATTATTATTTAGTTGATAAAGCATTCACGTTCGATGCCAAGTTCGATGCGTGTACTAGAGATACATAACTTGGTACGTAAAAAAATGCTAAACTAAAAAAGAAATTATATAGTGTTAGAAAAAAAAAAAGAACCAAAATCTTTGAAAAAGAAAGGACATCAATTGTCTATTCTCTCTAGGGTTACCCTTTCAAAAGGAAGTTTCACATTATGTAGTTTTTAGAAAATGAATCTATAATTCGTTATCCTAATTAATAAAGTCCAAAAAAATTGATCTTACAATAAGCATATCAATCAAATGATTATGACATATTAGGAAAGAACCATATAGAGTCTGTTCTCGGTTGCTATGATATAGTCTCATTTAAAATTTCTCTAACATGAGATACAGCAGGTTTATTATACCTTCGTTCACGGTAGTACATACTTGCGAACGACAACAAAATGATGGATGATAGTATCTTATGAGAACAATAAAGAAGAAAAAAGGAAAGAAAGAAACATACCGGGTAAATCCCAAGGTTCACATTTGTAAAGATCAATCTCCGGAATTATCTCTAACTCGATCGTCCGACCATTAATCTTTCGCTTGAGGTAGTATATGACAAGCTCTTCGTCTGTTGGATGAAACCGGAAACCAGGAGGCATTGAAACAGGAGCCATATCCACTTCCTATAAGGAATTCAGGAACTTATAAACACACTTTTTTGCTAGAACCAAATTGTGGAAGAGACAAATATGAACATAAATAAAACTTGAGAGAGAAAAAAAGGAGAGGAAGAAGAAGAAGGAGTGGGAATATAAAGAGACAGTTATATAAGAAAGAAGTGTAACATAAGGGTTTGAATTCGATCGATCATTGATGGAATTGTAAGAAAGACAAAAAGAGATTAAAATTATGTAAAAGAAGCTGGAAAAAGCATTTAGGGTCGGTTGCCAATTGCAAACCCCACAACATATTTTCCCACTTTAACTTTTCTTTTTACTTTATTGTGTTTATATATTTCCGTGTAAATTTGATTCTCAGTAACGTTCTAATTAATCTTTTCATGTATCATGTAATATTGGAAAAATCACGTTCATATATATATCTAAGTACGTGTTTCTTTTTTTGTTCATCGATGCGTAACGCGTTTATGCATAGTGTGAATGATCGATTTTATTTTCAGTACCAAAGACATTCAATAACCAATGTTGCTAGTAAAAACGGATATCCTATAGATTAATTGAAACTTCACCTAAATCAAATAGTTTCATGTGGTAATAACTTGCAGAATAGAAAGAAAAATTATGAAATGTTAACTCATATTTTTATTAGTAATAAAGTCCTCTTAACACCGATTTTTTAGTTCTTTTAGTAAAAATAATATAATTTTCGGTGTTTTATTTCTTTTTAGGTTTTTACACTTGCCGAAAAAAAAGAAAAGAGTGTGGGAGTAAAAACGGATCAAAAATCATCAAGTGAAGAAAAAAAAAGACAGACGATGACTGATCGGTACACTTTAGTAACCAATTGGTACAAAAGACCAATGTAACCAATCAGTACACATTGTAACCGATCAATTGGCGTTTTAGAACAATTTTTTTATTATTTTTTATTTTAGAGCTTCTTCCCTTTGTGTATAATACTCCTTTCATTCTCAGCCATCCAAAGACGAGTTTTATGCGATTTTTATAGTTTAAGATTGTTCTAGTTTTTAGGATTTGTAAAAGAGTTTTTGTCAAACCTTTGTTATTCTCTTTGCAATTATATATGAGTTCTTATGCTACTTCTATATCATGTTTTCTCTATTCATGTTTGAGTAGATATTGAGTTTTGGGTTTTATAAAGGGATAATTATGAAGATTTATCTTAGGATTCTTATAGGGTTGATCTATTAGTTCTTCATTTAAAATTGTACTTCATTGCTTTAACTGAATTACGCCAGTTTGATCATAAATCGATTTATAGTGGCACCAAAAGTGTTATTGAATCAATTTACCTATTTTAGGTGGGCATTACTTCCTTAGCCACAAAATTAATTTGTCATTAAGATTTTTGTGAACTTTTCAAACTTACACATAATATTTGCTTAAATTTCTGTTAACAAACGACAATTTGGTTGTTAGGAATTTCATTGTATAGATAGTATAAAAGTAGGATAACTCTACAATTATGTTTTGAGTTCAAGAACGGTTTAAATGTTTCCCATATTTAGTTTATATTCGTTTCATAATCCCATGATAATTACTGTGTATTCTAGCTATGCTATTTGTGTAAAGGTAAAGTCAAAATTATTTACTTTTAGAAATTTACGACTCATAACAATTTCCTTCAATCTCTTACTTTGAATTTTTCTTCTTCTTTTATGATAAACTAGAGGAAAATCCGGGTTACGCCTCATATATTTCTAACTATAGATATATTAAAATTTATTTATGTTTTTTTATTGTTTTTTTTAAGCATTTTCTATGTTTAAACATAAAATTAGTTTGAGTTGCTTATGTTTTTCCATACTATATATTTGCGATATTTGAAATCAAATTGAATTATTTTTTATTAAAGAATAGGTTTTAGTAACCCAAGATAAACTTTGGATTTGTTTTCACTAATTTTTTTTAGTCATTTTCTTTTAGGTTTTGTTTTTTACATATTTGTTTTGAATACTTTTTTGAGTTTGGTTGATTAGTTGGGAATATGTGTAGTAAACGTATTAAACTTAATGTGTATGTAATTTATAAAATTTATTTAGGCAATATATATGGTGTAGATGCTAATTTTGTATTTTTGTTTTGGTAACATATTTTTCAATTATGTATAGATGCTAATCATTTATATATTAAAGAAGAGTTTTTAGTGCTTATGTGGTAATTCCACATTTTTCTCAACTATTTTTAAAAAGAAATACTACTATTCTCTTTGCCAACACTTTTAATTCTACTATCCTTATACTTATTATCCTAAAGCCAAAAACCAAACACATTTTAACATTAAATAAACTTACCAAAACTAAATTTTTGAACTTATTTTAAAAATATTAGCTTATGTATAAAGATTCCTAGTGTAAACTAAATTACATAATTATATGACCTAAAATTTATAAAACCCTCATTAAAAAATTGGACTTTGCCCTCTCAAAAATAAATTAGAAAAATATTACGTTTCTTTAAAATAATTTTTTTTTTTGCGCACAAATCATAATCACTTGGTCATTTAACAAACAGTTATTTAACCTAAGTACACCACATTATTTAATCCTAATGAGAAATCATTTCTTCTTCTATGGCGTGGGAGCAGTGAGCATGGGACTGGTAGAAAGAACAACAGCAGCCTTAGTCATTTCAGAGAGAAAAAAATTTATTTTATTGTATTTTGTTAATTTAAATCATTTTAATTGGAATCCAAGAAAAATCAAAATTTATTTTTAGAATTTAAAGTGATTTTTTCTTTGGAGGAAAAAAATCAACATTCTTTTTTTTTTTTGCCTAGGTAACGTTTTTATTAAACAAAATTTATTTCGATGTTTTCTTATAGTTAAATAGCTTGCTGACATGATATTTGAAGAGAACATTTTTAAAAATCTGATGTGGACAAATTGAGAATAGACAAATTGAGAAGCTTCAATGAGCTTCTTTTATTAGTAAGAGATGCTTTGTGAATCATCTTTTTACCATCAAATTTAACAAAAGTGGAATAGGTAAATTATTGGTTATGTCATAAATAAACTGAAAACTCAAACTAAATCAAATAATTTTAGGAGTGAAATACTTGTACAAATTTGGAAAACATGAAATGAAAACTTATAATATATATTGTCTCCATTGAGAATTGTACGTATTATTTAAAGGGAAAACAAATAGCAAATAATTTGAATGAATTACCATCCATCATGCATGAATCACAGGAGTCGTTGGATCAAGAAAATAAAATATCTTAAAGTCGGTCAATAATTTTGACGGTTCAAGATCGTAATTAAAATAAACTAGGTTTCACTGGATCATGCATGGTTTATCAAGTTTTAATATTATTATCTTTCTCTGAAAGTTGTAAATTTTTCAGAAGACACGTTCTTCTTGCAAACGGACATTGTAGTTTCCTTTTTTTCATGGTTTAATAGTTTGCCTTTTTTTCTTCTCTTATATAAAAGACGACAAAACAAAACGACACAAAAATCCTATTTGATAATAAAGCTAGATGTTGGATTATGGAGTTTAGGTAGATTGTTTAAGATCCTTGCTTACTGATTGCTAATAAAGCTAAATCAACCTTGATCATGTTGATTTAGACATTAGGAATTTCATGTTCGGAAGGTGTTCGTTGAAATTTCCGAACCAAAATCTTTAAGTACTTTTCATTATTTGCCTTTGGAAAATGTTGATTAGAGTGATTAGTGGTTAGATAGGCTTGTTGCTTATGCTTATTGATCATTTGATTGCCTTTAGAAGTGTTGATGATTTGATTGATTAGTAAAGGGATTAATCTCATGGAAATGAATTATTCTTGTCTAGTGTTCTATGGCCTAAGGATCATTGTAGTTAGAAGTTGTTATGAGCTCCATAATCCTTCTTTTAGTCATTCCTAATCGATTGCTTTAACTTCGGAATTTGACTTTAATTATCGCTTAGTAACTTACTTATTTCCGCTTTGTTTACTCTTGAAAGTTGTTAGTATTTTGTTTATTGTTTTCTTTTACCTTATTTTATATTTGATTGGATTGTTATTGCATTGTTAGTAAGATTTAGAAAACTAAATCATCTTAATAGCTTAGATTAAGCATTTGTGTGCATTCTTAGTGAGTTAACTAATTGCTCATTGTGGTTCGACTCTTAAGTACTTTAATGATGGGATCATTAGTGCTTTAGGACTTTTAATTAAGCTTAATGCTACGTCAACTGTTGAAACTTAATTGATGTCACTTAAAAAAGTCATAATAAGAATTTTGTTTCAGTTCTTTGAGTTTTGTACTTTTAACTCTTACATCTTTTTTTCATCTATACGATAGATACATTGATCAAATTAATACATTAAAATTATAGAAATTTGATGATTCATAATTATCAGTCAGTTCTGCATCATTGCAACTGTTTGATATTTTTGTGGTTCGAACATATAATCTTTGCTTCATTAAACTGGTGGTAGAGTTTATAGTGATAGATGAGGGAGATTTGTTTGGATCCTTTATCTCTTATATTAATGATAAGAACCAAGACAGCTCAACCCTTCATATTTTGGGTCCATCAGACAAGACAAGAAAAGCTTTTAATCGAATCATTGATCTCCATATTAGAGATGTATTCGAGAAGCGAGTTGATTTTGAGAAAATTGACATTGAAGTTGAAGTAGAGGAAGTTAGCTTTGTTTTTGTGCAATGTATGATAAATAAGTTCAAGCACCAGAAAATACTAGGATCATGGTGCGTTTTAACTTGGTAGTTTTAAACTTTTATTAACACCATGGTGATTATTAATTATATACTTTGCTATGTAGGTTAGCTTATCAAATCATCTTACGGACTACTCCTTAGCGGTCTGAACATTGAATTTGTAGCAGTCTACGTAATGGTGTGTAGACTCTTCGGATATTCCTTCTCAAAGCTCATCAAGTGAAAGATAGCCTCAGGTTATGTGTTATGGCTTTATGTTAGTCCTTTTGCTTATTGTTTGAACTTTCCTATGTGGTATCGTTGTGTTTTAAGTTTGAACCTTTATCTTTTGAACTAAAAAAAGAAAAATTATATTAACCCATGTGTTTTAGCAGATTATATTACGTTTTGAATACGGAATGAAAGTTTCATCATCATAATATATGATGTGCATATGGGATGAATTGACTTGATTATACATAATTTTATTTTTATTCTTTTCTTTTTATTAAACGATTTTAGTTTCTACCTTACAAATACATTATCTCATAGTGCTCATTAAAAAAATATCCGACAACTTCAAAATCCGGTTATTCTGATGACAGAATTCATCGGATAAATTCGTCGGAAAATTAGCTGAGATCACTTTGTCTAAGTTGTATGGTGGTCCAATGGTAAAATCAAACCAATGGCACTTTGAA